GGGTCTTCGAGTTAAAAGAGTTCGAGATAACGAGGTTTGACTGTATTTCACGATAAAAAATAGTCTTGCTAGCTTCCATAATTCCAAAGAAAATACTGCATGATTTCCTGGGCCTATTGCAAAATGTGAATAGAAATGATTCCTGTCGCATTGATAGGATTTAAATTTGTGTGATATCAAGTATAGTATTGATGAGATGATAGATCCACAGTTGAAAATCAATGAATAAGTTTCAATTACCATTTTATACCCCTCTTCAAATTGTATATTATTGATAAACATGATAAAAGTTTAAACATGTTACCTGGCTACATGTCAGAAGACTTTATACTTTCCCCTGATCAATCACCCTCTGGACCAAACGGTTCAGTTATGTAATAAACAAACTAAATATGGACCGCCAAACATACTATTGATTGAATTGTAAGAAGGCTTATATTTATTTCTATGTAAATTCATTTATGGTTTTTCTCGTAAAAACGGGGAAAAAACCTATTTGCTAACTGTTGAAAAAAGGGTGAACCAAAGCTGCTCATACAGTGTGCAAATATATGACACGAAAAATACATGGTAAAGCCACCCCTGGGGATGTTTGTTGATTTGTTATTTTGATGTGGGGTTATTTTAACAGTGTAGTTCCTTGATTACAGCTAGTAGTATGCCGGTTCCCATCGTTCCACTGACAGAGGAAAATGAAACAGCAATGGAAGATGAATATTTTCTGTCTTTCCTAAAGAAGATTGGTATCTGTCCTCCGTCCAGTGAGCAGGTAACATGATTTCAGTTTGTAAAGTAACTCTTTCATTGGAGGTTCATGTAAAAAATTATGTTAAATCTGTGTTAATGTATTATTTCATTTTTTTTTTTTTTAATATTGCATTATGTTTTCATCCCCTCACCATTTGTATGGGGAAGGGACAGGGGACGATTAATATTACTCATGTCCTCCCAAATACTCATACACTTAATTTAAGACCCCTTTTTAGAAGTTAGACAAAAGTTGCCCCGACTCCAGGAGTCACACCCACACCTACCATCACACAAAGGTACATGTTAGACTGAGGGCTGACCAGGGCTGAAGGTTATACTCTGCAATGTGATCCAATACCTCTTTTGTGATCGGGCATGTTTTTATTAAGTAGTTATGAGAATTGAACACATTTAGATAAATATTCCTTAAACACTCCTTACATAAATGATTTTACAAAACAATGTTAGGATCTTTCACACCCTTTTTTCAACACACAGTTCTCATCCCTTTGTTCACTTCCAGGAGGTGTTCTGGCGTATCCCAGGTGAATGGAGTCCTGCCCAGTTGAGACAGCTTGTGGAAGGGCTGACACTTGATGAACAGGGGGTCCCAAGTCAGGCTCATACCATCAAAATCCACAAGCCTCCCGCGCCCAAACCCAGCAAGGCCAAGGTCAAGGAAGTGAAGAAGAAGAAGGATGACAAGAAAACATCAGACAGGATGGAGAGGTTGAAAGCTATGGCTAAACAACGACAGCAAAATAAGGGCAAGAAGCCCAGGAGAGATCGAACAAGGTATTATATAAACAGGATAATAGAACTAACGCCAATCCAAAAGTTAGTGGTTATTTTGTGGAGTGCTGTGCTTGAGCATGGATACCCGAGATACACAGGGGGATAGATGAACAGTTAAATATAAAACAGATCCTGATGAAGCCTTGCACATATATATAGAGGCGAAACCAGCCGGCTATTAAATGAAATAAGTACCAATTTACTGATGATGCTCGAGCATGTGGTGATTGATTCTTCCCTTTATATAGGTATTATAAGATTATAAGTATTTACCACATACCTATGTAATCTTACAATAGTAATACAACAATTTTCTGT